ATTCCTGCTTCACTATTTCATTAGATTGTTTCTCTTTTTCTTATCGATTTGTGAAAATGTATTACACATATGGCTAAGAAACCACTGTGCATATAAACTGCTTTGCAACTCATTTTTTTGCATGTTTAGAATATACTGAGACCATTCTTCCGTGTCACAACATGAATCTATCTACCTCATGCCTTTAGAACTAGCAATATAAACTTTGAAATCTTTCTTTTTAAGATTACAATGTCAGGGAATTCCCTGGCGGTCCAGTGGTTAGGACCCTGCACTTCCACTGCAGAGGACACAGGTTCCATCCCTGGTTGGGGTACTAAGATCCCACAAGCCGCACAGCCAAAAAAAAAAAAAAAGATTACAATGCCAGATCTAAATAACCAGCTTCTTTTGTCCTGGGACAGATGAAGTTCATATTTTCCATTTCTTTCAGACTTGGAGACAAACTCTGAAACTACTCAGGAGACACTTCCAAAAAAGAGTATTTCCGAAGAGGTGGCTTCCCCAATGGGAAAGATGGAGGGCATTTTAAGGGCAGTGCTTGGAGACACCAAGTTGGGGGACTCCTGGACATGCGGCCGTCAACTGGAAGACCAGGGAAAGCAGGAGAGGCGTTTGAGATGGTTGTTTGCTACTCCCGAGGAAAACACCCATGGCGAGTTGAGACACTTCAGGCGGACCTCAGCTTTCATTGGGAAGCAAAGAGTGCCTGGGGGAGAGGATCCTCAGAAGTGGACCAGGTCAAGAAAGAGCCTGAAACACCAAAGGAGACCATTTAACTGCACGGAATGTGGGAAAGCCTTCATCTACCATTCGGATTATGTCCTACACCAGAGAATTCACACTGGAGAGAAGCCCTACAAGTGTAATGAGTGCGGGAAAGCATTCAGCAACAGTTCATATTTCATCCAGCACCACATCATCCACACAGGAGAGAAGCCCTACGCCTGCAACGAATGCGGTAAGACCTTTACCCAGAGCTCATCGCTTACTGAGCATCAGAGGATCCACACTGGAGAGAAACCCTACAAATGCAAGGAATGTGGGAAAGCCTTCACCCAGAGCTCCTCCCTCATCAAACACCAGCGATGCCATACTGGGGAGAAACCCTATAAATGCAACCAGTGTGGGAAGTTCTACTCCCAGGTGTCCCACCTCACCCGCCACCAGAAAATACACACAGGGGAGAAGCCCTACAAATGCAGTGAGTGTGGCAAGGCTTTCTGTCACACCTCCTCCCTGACTCAGCACCAGACAATCCACACTGGTGAGAAACCCTACAAGTGTAACGAGTGTGGGAAAACCTTCAGCCACAGCTCGTCACTGACCCAGCACCAGCGAGTCCACACTGGAGAGAAACCTTACGAGTGCCCCGAGTGTGGCAAAGCCTTCAGCCACAGTTCGTCCCTGACTCAGCATCAGAGAATTCATACTGGTGAGAAGCCCTATGAGTGTCATGAGTGCGGGAAGGCTTACACGCAGATCTCCCACCTCATGAGGCACCAGAGTGTTCACGTGGGGGAGAAACCCTATATATGTAATGAGTGTGGAAAGGCTTTCAGTCACACCTCCTCCTTTACTCAACACCAGACGATCCACACTGGTGAGAAACCCTACAAGTGTAATGAATGCGGGAAAACCTTCAGCCAGAACTCCTCGCTTATGCGCCACCAGAGAATTCACACCGGGGAGAAGCCCTATGAGTGTACAGTTTGCGGGAGAGCCTACACCCAGATTTCCCACCTCATCCAACACCAGAGGACTCACACTGGAGAGAAACCTTATGAGTGCAGTGAGTGTGGCAAAGCCTTCAGCCGGAGCGCCCATCTCATCGAGCATCAGAAGGTCCACACGGGCGAGAAACCCTATAAGTGTAAGGAGTGTGGGAAAACATTCAGTCACAACTCATCCCTAACTCAACATCAGAGGATTCACAGCGGCGAGAAACCCTACACCTGTAAGGAATGCGGGAAAGCCTTCAATCAAAGTATCCACCTCATTCAACATCAGAGGATTCATACCGGGGAGAGGCCATACAAATGTAAGAACTGTGGGAAAACCTATGCCCAGATTTCACACCTCATTCAACACCAGAAAGTTCATATGGGTGGCAAGCACTATGCATGTAAAGAATGCGGAGAGGATTTCAGCTGGGGTTCACACCTGGCCGAACATCAGAGACTTCACACTGTGCATGATGGCTATGTCCGCGGTAATTTTGAGAAAGCCTTTGCTTGGAACATGCAGCTTAGTGATCCTCAGAGAACTCATGCTGACTGGAGAGCCTGAGAATGAAACAAACTGGTGATTCTGCTGCTGGGTTCCGTTCAGCCTTCATCAGCAGTAGAAGCTTCTTCCCAGAGAGGAGCCATAACACTATATATTGAGAGAGTTGGTTCCTTTTTTGCCTCCTAGAAGGAGGATGGCACTGTTTATCACCAGCAGAGACAGCTTCTGATCATTTAAAGGGCGCCCCCCTAAAATCTAAGCTTCCCCCCCATTTCTCAACCCTACAACGTCCCTGGATGGTGGTAGGTATGGGGTGGTCTACATAGGATGCAACTTCATCTGGGATCTTTAATAAGGTCTCTCTGAGCTTTTAAAATTTATTCATCATGTGTTAAATTGGAGCCTGGAAATTCAAGAAAAAACAAATCACAGCTGGAAAGATTCATCTGTTAGAGTAAAAGTCACAAATATATGTAACTAAAGATAAATGCCAGGCAATTTTAGTTTCCTTTAAAACTTTAAGCTACAAATTTCACTGAAAAATCTGCAGTTGGCTTAAACATGGAATATGTTTCACATATTTCCAGCCATTTCTTATGTCCTATTGTTTCTGTCTTTTCCACTCCCAGGAATTGTGCTTTACAAAGTAATTGCCCTGTTAGACATCATTTTCTGATTTTAGTCATGCTCAAAAGGAGGTTTTTATTCCCTCATATTTTTGAAACATAGTATTTTCTATTAGAAAAATAATACATACACTTTTATAACAGGAAAATTTTTAAAGTAGAATAAGATAAGCTTATTTTAAAGGATAATTTGAAAAGTGTAGAGAACTATGAACTAAAATACCAATTCCCCATAATCCCACAGGCCAGAGAGACCCACTAGTCATTTTTGGGTGTATGTCTTTCTGGTTTCGTTTCACTCTGTATTCCATATCCATATTTTTTAATGTTGAAAATTTTGGATCATAAAACAAAAAGCTATATACTCACCTACAACTTGGCCATCCTCAGAAGTGAGGTTGTTTTGAATTTTTTCATCTTTCCTTCTGAATATCATTTTAAAATAAGTGTTACTTTATTTAATTGTAATTGGAAACAATTTTGGCTTCTCTGTTTTGCCCTCATTATACCATGATATTGTCCTTTGTCACCACGTAAACTCCATCCTCATCATTATTAGGGCTAATGATGTTTCATTGGTGGGCATAGAATAATCTATAAATCCATGCCCCCATTTAGACTTTGCTCTAAGCCCCAGATTGACACAGGTTATTCACCAATTTTCCCAGTTATGAATCATGTAATAATGAGCATTTCCATGCTAACTTCCTCTCTCCTTTTGGGGGGATTATTTCTCTAAGTCAAATTCCCAGGATGGGAATAACAGAATCAAGACTCTAACCATTTTCTTGGTTCCTGGAACATATCGTTAAATTGCTTTCTAAAGGGGCTGGACCTAATCTACCTGGAGCAAGCTAGGAAGTGAGGACTACAGTTCTGTTACATTATAACCAACACTGAACATCAATCATATAATGTTTCCCCATGTCCAACATATAAAATGGCTAGTGATTTCAGTAACTTACTGTGTGCCAATTTTGTGCTAAGTTCTTGGTACGTGTGAACTCCTTTCATTCTTCAAACAACCACATATGTTCAGGGCTGTATTATCCCATTTCACAGATGAGGACACCGAGGCATGCTGATGATGTAGACAAAGCCCCACAGCTATGAGGTCATGGAGCCTGAACTCAAGTTCAAGTAGTCAAGCTCCAGGAGCTATGCACTGAACTTCTACTGGGATTGAACACATTTCACATATAACATTTCCTTCTTAAAATAATGTTTATTATCTTATTATGAAAACCAATACATGCTTTTTATAAAAAATTTACAAGATCCAAGAAATCCGGAAGATTTTACACAAAGGCCAGTGCTACCCAGAGATAACTGTTAACATTTTGGTGTACTTCTGCTATTTTTAAAACAATCACAGTATTATAACGCTTTAATAAATCTGGGACATAGTTAATATACAGTTTAGCATACTTCTGTGTTTACTTAACTTTATATCACAGGCCCCTATCATTAAATATGATTTAGTGATATCATTAAATACCCACGTCATTAAATAATCTTTAACAACCTGATGTTTGGGGGCTTTGCATAGTTTGTGTTTAGTAGTAGCCAGTCCCCTGTTGGATACTTTGGTTGCTTCCAGTTTTTGACTTTTATAAACATCCCTTCTATTGAAGTCTTAGGCTGAGCACCCTACCAGCTCCCAAGTAGAATCCTGGCAGGGAGTCTGTGGGGTCAAAGAGAGAACATTTTAATGACCCCGTGCATGTAGTTAATGGCTTCCTGAAATTTCTGCATCTGATTGGCAGTGGATAGGACTGCATCTCACCAACATCATCACTGGTAGTTACCATGTTTAAAAGTCTTTGCTCAGGTATTTCTTCTGTGACTTCCTTCATGGTTGGTGAAATACTCATTTATTGTGAATAATTCAAACAACACAAAAATGAAAAACACTATGGCTCTCTATAAATCTTCATTCCAAAGAGTCTAGACTGTTTTCTGTTGTTTCTCCCTTTCTGTTGGTATGAAATATATATGTACATAAAATATTTATATGGCATAATCACAGACGTGATTTTAAGTGACTTTTTTCACTTGATATAATATGAATATTTTCCCATGACAATCAATCCAAAATATATATATAGTACATATTGTACAAAAATATATACACATGTATATATGTATATATATATATATATGTATCATCATTTGCCACTTTCAACAGCTGCATAATAGTTCATGCTAGAGTTTCTTGAATTTATTTAACCAAATTCTATTAATGGGCATTTGGGTTGTTTTATTTTCTTTTCCATCATTGGACATATATTATTTGACACTTGTGCAAATTATCTCCATAAGATGAATTCCTAGAAGTAAGCTTGTGGGATCATAGAATGTCCATGTTTAAAATTTTGATAGTTATTGCTAAATAATCCTCCAAAAAAGGATGACCCAATTTACAAAACTCCTGAAAGTGTACATGAGTGCCTATTTCTCTCTTCCACTTCCTTCACAAATACTCGGTATTAGTCTTTTATTATTTTTAACATTTCTCATCTAATAAGTAAAAATGTCCTATTGGTAGGGAGATTAATGATCTTCTTATGCCTTTATTGATGTTTTGCCTTCTTCAAATTGCTTATTTGTATATTTTGCCCATTTTTAATTGGGCTGCCTTTTTGTATTGATTTATAGGAGCAAGTCTATGTATTACATATACTAACTCTTTGGTATATACATTACTAATATTTTCTGCCAGTTTATTATTTCTCTTTCAGTTTTGTTTATGGTGTATTTTGCTATACAGAATTTTAAACTTTTTAGGTATTCAACTCTATCTGTATTTTCTTTTATAGTTCTTGGACCAGCTTCACACTAAGAAAAACCTGCCTCACCCCCCCCCCCAGGATTATGAAGAAAGTTCTATATTTTATTCTAGTACTGTTAGGATTTTTTAACAAGTAAATGTTTATTCCTTCTGCATTTTTATGGCTTATGGTATAAAATTTCAGTTCATAGAGGCCACCTGCATTCCTTGGCTTGTGGCCCCTTCATCCTCAAAGCCAGGAGTGTAGCATCTTTAAATCACTCATCCTAATATATTCCACCATATATGTAAATTTCTCAGCACACTTGGTCCACTCCCTTCTCGAAGATTCACCCCTCCTGTACTAACATACTGACGTAGAATAATTGAATTCTTAGTCTAAGAGAACCTAATTTTGAATCTTGCCTTTTCCATTGCCTTGCTGTCTAATCCAGTTTCTTCATATTTTAAATCAGAATAATAAGCTATATTACAAAAGATGTTTTAGGTTTCAAATAACAGAAAACTTAAGAGTTCAAACAAGAAAGACAGTTTACTAGCTCAAGTAGCCAAAAGGACCAAAACAAGGCATTCATCTTGTTTATCCTAGTACTTCAGGATGCCTTCAGTGGCAAGTAAGAGAAAACCCCAACTCAACCTCACAAACACTAGGAAGAAGAAATCTACAGGTAAGGCAAGCTCCACCTGCTATACATTAATATTTCCCTACAATTCACTTGAGATTTATATGGTTTTATTTCACAATTATCTTCTCAAATAATTATATTGCCTGATCACCTTTTCATTCCTATCTCAGCCACTTCCCTGTTTACTTCATAGTACTTACCGTAATTTCCTATTATAGGTCCCCTATTTACTGCCTGCTCTGACTCCCTGAAGGTAGGTCCTTTGTGTCTGTCACCACTATATCTCCAGCGCCTAGAGCACTGCCTGGAACGTGGTAGGTTCTCAGAAAATAGTCACTGACTGATTGATTTATTTCAAGCCTGAGCCATTCCCATCCCCACTTGCATGGTAAGAGAATGTTAGTTTCCCCACTCCCTCAAGGTAAGTATATCATACAGCTTTAAATTTTGGCCAGATATATAAATAAAGATAGCATTTTTCCTTTTTCTCTTGCTGGCGCTCTCCTACACATCCCTCAAAGCCTTATTCAAGACCCCTCCCCTGAGAAACCTTCTTCACATCAACTCTTTCAGTCCCGCCCTACCCAGTTTTTCTCCCTTCTTTGCTGTGACACATTTTTTCATTAAGTTTTATGAGCAAAGCACGCTGTTTTGTTGAGCATCCCTACTACTTAGAAACGCCTTTAAATAAGACCGCTTGGGACTTCCTTGGTGGTGCAGTGGTTAAGAATCCGCCTGCCAATGCAGGGAACACGGGTTCGAGCCCTGGTCTGGGAAGATCCCACATGCCGCGAAGCCCGTGCGCAACAACTACTGAGCCTGCGCTGTAGAGCCCGCGAGCCACAACTACTGAGCCCGCGTGCCACAACTACTGCAGCCCACGCGCCTAGAGCCCAAGCTCTGCAACAAGAGAAGCCACCGCAATGAGAAGCCCGCGCACGGCAAGGAAGAGTAGCCTGCACTCGCCGCAACTAGAGAAAGCCTGCGCAGCAACGAAGACCCAATGTAACCAAAAAT